AGCATTGCTACCCCAGCTTTTTTTTTTTCATTTCCATTTGCCTGGAAAAAAATTTTTCATCCCTACATTTTCATTCTGTGTGAGTCTTTTGTTCTGAGGTGGGTCTCTTGTAGACAGCATATATATGGGTCATGTTTTCTTATTCATTCAGTCACCCTATGTCTTTTGATTGGAGCATTTAATCCATTTACACTTAAGGTTATTATTGATAGGTACTTATTTGTTGCCATTCTTATTCTTTATGCTGTGTTCTTCTCTTTCTCTCTATTTCTTCTTCTTACAAAAGTCCCTTAGCATTTCTTGTAATGAACTCTTTAGTCTTCTTTTGTCTGCCAAGCTCTTTATTTCACTTTTGATTTCCAATGATAACCTTGCTGGATAGAGTAGTATTGTGTGTAGTCCCTTGGTTTTCATTAGTTAGTATACTTCATTTAACGCCCTCTGGTCTGAAGTGTTTCTGTTGAGAAATCAGCTGACAGTCTAATGGGAGCTCCCTTGTAGACAACTTTCTATCTCTCCCTTGCAGACTTTAAGATTCTTTCTTTGTCTTTAATGTTTGCTATTAAATGTGGGCCCTTTGGGGTTCATCTTGGTAGGGACTCTCGGTGTTTCCAGAACTTCAGTGACATTTTCCTTCACCAGGTTAGGGAAATTTTCTGCCATTATTTCTTCAAACAGGTTCTCTATTCCTTTCTCAGATTCTTCTTTTTCTGGTACCCCTATGATGTGAATGTAGTTACATTTCATGTTGTCCCAAAGCTTTCTTAGTCTCTCCTCCTTCTTTTTATTTTATTTTTTCCAGTTGCTGCTCTGCTTGGGTGTTTTTTTCTACTTTTTTCTCACTTGCTAATTCAGTCCTCAGCTTCTTGTAGTCGACTTTGAAACCCTCCATTGTGTTATTTCAGCTGTGTCATACCTCATTTCCAATTGACTCCTATGTATTGTTTCAAAGTCTATTTTCATGTTGCTGTAGCTCTCATTAAGTCCCTTATAATTATCATTAAGTTGCTTGTGGTTCTCACTAAATTGTTTGAGTACCCTTATTAACATTATATCTGACAAAGTGCTTTCCTCCTTTTAATTTAGTTCTTTTTCTGGTGATTCCTCCTTTTCTTTCATTTGAGGATTGTTTCTTTGTCTCCCCATTTTTGCTGACCCTTTGTATTTGTTTCTATGTATTAGATCAAACTGCCATGCCTCCCAGAATTTGTGAGGTGGTCTTATGTAGTAGGTGTTTTGTGGGATCCAGTGGTGCAATCTCTTTATATATATATATATATATATATATATATATATATATATATATATAATTGACTTTTTACAGAGAGGAAGGGAGAGGTATAGAGAGTTAGAAACATCGATGAGAGAGAAACATCAACCAGCTGCCTCCTGCACACCTTCTACTGGGGAATTGCCCGCAACCAAGGTACATGCCCTTGATCGGAATCGAACCTGGGACCTTTCAGTCTGCAGGCGGACGCTCTATCACTGAGCAAAACTGGTTTGGCAAGTGATGCAATCTCTTACATATCCTGAGCAGGGTGACCTAGGAAAGCCCCTTGCTTGGTTTATTTGGATTTTCCTGTTGTAGTTGGGTCTTGAATATAATTCTCCCATTGGAGGATGGATAATCTCCTCTCAGGCTGGCTGACTATGTGGCTCACTCCCAACCACATTGTGTGAGCTGTTGTGGAGGTGCACTGTCAGAAACTGTCCTCCTTAATAACCTCCTAGACAGGGGTGGGCAAACTTTTTGACACGAGGGCCACAATGGGTTCTTAAACTGGACCGGAGGGCCGGAACAAAAACATGGATGGAGTGTTTGTGTGAACTAATATAAATTCAAAGTAAACATCATTACATAAAAGGGTACAGTCTTTTTTTTTTTTTTTTTTTTTTTTTTTAGTTTTATTCATTTCAAAAGGGCCGGATCCGGCCCGCGGGCCGTAGTTTGCCCACGGCTGTAACTAGAAGCTACAAGTGATCCATGGTTTGCGTCTGTCTCCACAGGACTTGGCTGCAAGCAGGAGGGGCCAATCTGTCCTCTAAAGTGGGTTTGTTAGCAGCTTGGGGCCCAGGGCTGTGGCAGCAAACCTCCCCTGGCTCCCTGGGCTCCAACTATGCCACAGGTGTGCCTTTTAAGTAGCAACAAATTCTGTGTCTATTCATGGAGGCACTTGTCCCACTTCATAGGCAGTGTTTGAATGTTGTGTTCCCACAGCACTGGTGCTCCTCTCTATTGTATAACAGGACAGGTCAGCATCACTGTCCACACATTGCATGTCCTGTCCACTACAGCTCCTAAGGACCTCGTTCCAGACCCAGAGTCTGGTGCAGCGGAAGAAGGGAAGCAATCAGAAGAAAGCATTCAGACACAATGCACAGATGAGGAATTTCAATTACAGTTTTAAAAGCTAAAATGTGGTGGAATAGAAAAGTTGAGGCTAACTGGACATTCCCTGGGCAGTAAACCATTGAATGAAAAAAAAATTAGAGTCATGAGGAGGTAGAGTGTCTGCCACTAAAATGGACTGGATAGGAACTCAATCCCTCTAGTTATACCAATCACTTTAATACTCCTTCTATAGTTAATTTAACACAAATGATGTGTCAGACACAATAGCATCAATTTATACATACTATCACTTTATATGTATTTTCACATTAATTCTCACAATAGTCTTCTCTGAAGAATATACATTTCCCCACTTTATAAAATCAAGTCTTTGAGAGGTTGCATTTCCCAAGGTGACCCAGCTAACAAGCCATGGCTACTGCATTTGGGGCAGATACAGGCCACTGCTGGGGCGGTGTGGGGAGGGTCTGAAAGAACTGGGGTTTTATAAAAATCTCTCTATATGTGGACAATTTATTTTTAGGGTCTGAACAGTCACCAGCAAACTTTTGGTTAAAAACACTTTACTCCTGAGGAATAAGTTATAAATTTGTATTTTAAAACTGATTACAATAAAGTATGATTTATGTTTATTTTCATTTCAGAACTTCAGTTTTACAAACAGTATTTTTAGGTTATTGGTCAAAAAAATTTCTTAATGTATCATTGTGTATACTCAAGCTGTGAATTATAATTTCTTGGTAAATAATAAAAAATGAGTATTTTTTGAGTAGCTTATTTCAAATATGACTAAACCCACCCCCACCAAATACCCATTCACCATCATTTCATCCGCATAAAATAGTATATAATGAATCTGTTTAAAATTATAATTAGCCTTATTTTTCTACTATAAAAGTAATAAAATTTATTATGAAGTTTTTATAATAAAAATAAAATATAATGTAAAAATAATTTTAATAACACCTCCCAAATTGAGTTCCTACTAAATTTTTTTTAAAGACTTATTTTTAAAGCAGTTTTAGATTCACACCAAAATTTAGAGTTTTTTATATCCCACTGTCCCCAAACATGCATGGCATCACCTATTATCAGCACCCCCTCAACAGAAATACTGCATTTATTACAGCTGCTGAACTTAAATGGATACATCATAATTACTCAAAATCTACAGTGTGCTTTACTACTCACACGTGGTGTTGTGCATTCTGTGGTTTTGTATAAATATAATGACATGTATCCATCATTATGGTATAATGCAGAATATTTTCACTGCCCTAAAAATCATCTGTGTTTTGCCTCTTTATACTTCCTCCACAATCTGTGGCAAACACTGATCTTTTTACTATCCTCTATGTTTGCCTTTCTCAGAATGCCATATAGTTGAAATCTCACAGTGTGTAACCTTTTCAGATTAGCTTCTTTCACTTTGTAATATACACTTAATTTTCTTCCAGATCTTCTTATAGCTTAGTAGTTCATTTCTTTTCAGCAGTAAATAGTATTCTATTGTCTGGATATATCACAGTTTATTGATTCACCTACTGAAGAACATCTTGGTTGCTTCCAAATTTTGAAAATTATAAATAAAGCTGCTTTAAACATTTACATGCAGATTTTTGTGTATTCATAGTTTTTTTAACTCCTTTTGATAAATACCAAGGAATGTGATTGTTGGATAAGATGGTAAGAGTATATTTAGATTTATAAAAAACTGCCAACCTGTTATTCCATATCCCCACTATCATTTGGTATTGTCAGTGCTTCAGAGTTAAGTCATTCTGGTAGGTGTGCAGTGATATCTCTTGTTGATCTAATTTGTATTTCCCTGATGACATATGATATGGAGCATCTTTTCATATCCTTATTTGCTATCCGTATATATTCCTTAATGAGGTGAAAATCCCTATTAACTTTTTGGCATACACTTTTTAGATATGTTTACACACACCCATTATATAAGTGTATCTAGACCTCCTTTTTTTCAGCAATCATAAATAAACATTCTTGTATATAAAGACTAAAATTATAACTATCACCTGCAGAAGACAGAGCCAGGCATGGTAAGGATACATTATATTTTCCCTGTTTCCAAATAGCAGTCTTCCTTACTGCATATTCTTTTCTACCAAAACCAGATAAAAATCTCAGAATCCTTCCCAACACAGGGTTCTTAGACTACAGTACTATTTGGTCAGAGTTGAATAATAGACTATATTTTCACCTCTAACGTTGAGCCTGAGAGAAGGGGATCAAGCAGCTCTGATTATCAAGCAAAGTAACAAGGAAGACAAATCAGGAGGTATTATTGCAAAGCAGCATCTGACACAGCAGATCCTGATCTAGGTACTTGTGGTATTCTCATCCTGTTCCCTCAACAAAACTGACATATCACTAATGAGAGGTTTTGCTTCTAGACTGATGATCAGTTTATTTTAACTCAGTGTGTGGTGGTTGCCTATTCATGAATTATTCCCCTGAGTCTAATTAGGGTGGGTCTAGTCTATATTCTTTCCCTTCAAACAACAGGTCTTTCCAGATGTCGAAACATGCCTATAAAATGGACAACAACTAAGCTGGGAAACAGAACTGGCAGTTAAGAGGATATGCATTGATTTTTCTCCTTCTCTCTCTTTGTGCCCAGAATCCGATGTTGCTGACTTTGATGGCAGGAGCTCCCTGCTGTACAGGTTCAATCAGAAGCTGCTGAGCACCCTCAAAGACGTCATCTCTCTGAAGTTCAAGAGCATCCAAGGGGATGGGGTCCTGTTCCACGGAGAAGGGCAGCGTGGAGACTGTATCACGCTGGAGCTCCAGAAAGGGAGGCTCGCCCTGCGCCTCAACTTGGGTAAGGCCAGGCTTTGCCCCTGTGCAGGTCAGCCTGTGGGAAACTCCCTGGGTAGCAGATCACAGTCCTTGTCCTCCTAGATTATCAGGTGGAAGTCCTTGGAGCACGATCCATGTTTGAGAAGAAAAATACCACATCTCAAAATGGTTAAGCCATAGATAGCATTATTTACATCAGATAATATTGGTATGTAAGAAGAGATACAAGCTAAGTGCTGGGGTTCATATTGCTTGATTATTTATTTACTAGTGGCCTGGTGCACAGATTCATGAACATTGAAGGGAAACTAATTATAAGAAATAATAACATAATATAATAACAACAAATACATGATATAAAAACAACAAAAACATGATATAAAAACAATGACTAATAAATTGATTAAACTTATTCTAATATCTCCTTGTATGCCACTTTCAGAGTGCTTGACTAATTTCTCTTGTGATGAAGCATTTACAACTTTAACTTTAACATCACATGATCTTCAAACTCAAGAGAAAGCAACACATAACTGAACATGTCTAAAAACAGGTTCAGGTAGGAATATTCCTACTTTGTCTAGATTGGTGCCAGTGAGAGATTTATATGTTTCCCACATGTTCAAGTCAAAGTTTATTTTTAAATTGCCAGTGCGTGTCATATGTACTGGCCAGTAGGTTGGTCGGATGGAGGGTTGGTTACTCAGGCCTTTTACATATATATATAT